GAGACAGGGTCTGGCTGGTTTGGATTGATTTGCTCCAAGTTTTAAGTTACTTGTTAGAGGGGCTGGAGAGATGGCTCAGAGGTTAAGAGCATTGCCTGCTCTTCCAAAGGTCCTGAGTTCAATTCCCAGCAACCACATGGTGGCTCACAACCATCTGTAATGGGGTCTGGTGCCCTCTTCTGGCCTGCAGGCATACACACAGACAGAATATTGTATACATAATAAATAAATAAATAAATAAGTATTTTTTCAAAAAAGTTACTTGTTAGACACTTCTCTGCTGATTGGTCTAGAGAAGTCGGCAGTCTATGAAAGTCTATGTGTGTAGCGGCTGTCAGGGATGGCCTCAGGACGCAGTTCCACCTTTCACCTTGTTTAGATAGGGTTTCTTTGTCTCTCTCTGATGTAAGCCAGGTTGGCCAGCCCACCAGCTTTCTGTGGTTCTCTGGGCTCCACCTCCTGTCTCCTAATTGTGTGCTTGGCATGCAGGGACACTGGATCCGGTTCCTATTTAGGTTCTGGGGACCTGAAGCTAGTGCTCTACCTGCTGAGCTGTCTCTTCAGCCTGAAAATTACTAATTGGGGTTGAGGCGGTTGAGTGAGGATCTTGATGTGTAGCTCTTGCTGGCCTAGAATTAACAGCAGTTCTCTTGGTCTCCTGAGTGCTAGGATTACAGCTATGAGCCACCATGCCTGGCCTGAAAGCTATTCTTCTCACCCACTACTTCAAGATGTAAGTTTAGTGGGTCAGCCTGAAGGTGACTTACCTGTGCTGTGGAAGTAATTTCATTCTGCCTTTTCTCTGTTCCCTTGTTAGTCAGTACGAAACCACCTGCAGCTTTGCTCTTCAATATTAACAGTTCTCTTGCGCTTGCGATTTGTGCCACCATCAGTGGTGGGTGTGATCTGTTCACAGGCATTCAGTCTAGACTGTGTTTCTTAATCGATGTTCTGTGGCAAGTCGTACAAATAGGCTAATACACTGAGACATGGATCTCAGGATGGTCTATGTGGCCAGGGGAACTTGGGATCACTATGTTAATTATGTTACCTCAACCAAATAGACAATAAGGTAAGCATTTGGGAATGATTTTGTGTGTGTGTGCATACACAAATACACACACACACACGCGTGCGCGCGCGCGCACACATGAGTGCACCAGAGGACAATCTCAGTTATTGTTCCTTGGGTTCCATTCTTCATGGTTTTTGGTAGAGGGTTTCACTGACTTGGAAATTGGCCAGTAGGCTAGGCTGGCTGGCCAGAAAGCCTTAGAGATCTGACTGTCTCCACCTCCCCAATGCTGGGATTACAAGTATGCACCACTATGAGCCTGGCCTTTAATGTAGGTCTGAGGATCTTTGTAGTCCTGGTTGGCCTGGAACTTGTTATGTAAATCAGGCTGGCCTCACAATTTTTCATTGAACTCTGAACTAAGGAAGACAAGAAATGATCTCTGCTAACTCTAGGATATTGAGTCCATTCCAAGGTCAGATAACAATAGTGATGAAAATCTTAGCTTTATGATTAAGCTAACCACTATGAATAAGGTTCAGTCTTCTTGCTTGGCACTGCTGAGTGTATTAGTGGACACCAAGACAGATAATCTGTTTCTAGTGAGGATGATAACAGCTGTTCCTGGAACACAGGTTCCTCATGAGACTGCAGGCACTCACAGCAGAGTCATGTAAGCCCAGCCTGTCCTCAGACCTGCTAGGTAACTGAGGATGAACACTGAACCCCTGACTCTCCTGTCTTCCTGTCCCATGTACTGGGATTACAGAGAGTTCTGAGGACCAAGCCCAGAATTTGCTACTTAGGCACATTATTTCACCAGCTGAACTATATCCCAGTTTACTAAAGGCGATTTCTAATGGATGTTTACTATCAGGTACAAAACAAGGTGTGCATCTCATCATTTCATCTTTAAAATAACTCTAGAGGTGACTCACAAGGAAAGGTTGTCTTCTGACCTTCATATGTGTAACCTAGCACAGGTATTTACCCTCATAACACACACACATGCAGAGGGAGAGAGAGGGAAAAAAAAACATGCACACCAAGTAAATGTTTAAAAAAAATTAAAAAGCCCTTTGAGCTAATTGTGCAGTGGGGATAAATGACTTTAATACCAACACTTGGGAGGCAGAGGCAGGTGGATCTCTGAGGTTTTGAGGCCAGCCTGCTCTACATAATTTCAGGCCAGTCAGGGAGACTTCCTCCACAAAAACAGCAACCACAAAGGCTGTGTTGGGATGGAGTATTAACTGCTCTTCCAGAGGAACCAGTTGGGTACCCAGTGTCTGTGTGGGGCAACTCACAAACTCTTGTAACTCCAGTTCCAGGGGCATCTGACACATCTGGCTTCTGCTTTTTCTTTTGCTGTTTTTTTTTTTTTTGAGACAAGTTTTTTCAGTATAGCCCTGACTGTCCTGGATGTTGGTCTGCAGACCAGGCTGGCCTCAGACTCACAGAGATCCTCCTGCCTCTGCCTCTGGAGTGCTGGATTAAAGGGGTACACCACCACTGTCCAACTAACAAATACTTCAAAATAAATAGCCGGGTAGTGGTGGCACACGCCTTTAATCCCAGCACTTTGGAGGCAGAAGCAAGCAGATTTCTGCAAGTTTGAGGCCAGCCTGGTCTACAAAGCAAGTTCCAGGACAGCTAGGACTGTTACACAAAGCAACCTTGTTTCAGGAAAAAGAAAAAAAGTAAATAATAAAGTAACCATTGATAGATGGTCTCTGCTTTTGGATCTTCATACAATTCAGTCTCTGATATGGCATAGATTCAACAACAAAATGACTGCCTTGAGTATCCTTTTGAATGCTGCGTAATCCCAGATCCAAACTGAGATCAAGTAGAGCACGACAATCTAGACCAGTCAGTCACCTGATGGTCACTGAATGTCATTGTTAGGGTTTCTATTGCTGTGATAAAACATTATAACCAATAGCGACTTGGGGAGGAAAGGATTTACTTCAGGTTCCATTTCCACTTCACAGTCCATCACTGAGGAAAGTCAGGGCAGAAGTCCAGAGGCAGGAGCTGATGCAGAGGCCATGGGGAACCTTAGTAAATAAAAATGTTATTATTTGTGTTAACAAGGACTTTGAACATAAGTTGGCGGCTAAAATATTAGCAAATAGTAGTATAGCACTAGCCATGGAAATGCGTGGAAATGGGAGTGACTTACCACCTAGGTAGAGAAAGCAGATTATAGCTGTGGCTAAGTCTGTGTTCTGAGTAAGTGTTTGCCTGGGGTTCCTTTACAGAAGAAAAGAGTAATTTTTTTTTTTAGTGATTTTATTTTATGTGCACTGGTATTTTACCTATGCATGTGTCTGTTTGAGGGTGTCAAAAATCACCTGGAGCTGTAGTTACAGACAGTAGTGAGCTGCCATGTGGGTGCTGGGAATGGTACCTGGGTTATCTGGAAGAGCAGCCAGTTCTCTTAACTGTTCTCTCCAGCCCCAGTAATAGTTTCTTAGTCTCAGTCCTCAGAGGTAATAAATGCTGAACTGGGGACTTGATTCTGAGCCAAGGAGATAAAGGACGTGTCTTGAGGTGTTTGTTGTCTTTCCAGAGTCCACATAAAGCTGGACAGTAGTATAAGCACTTCTGCAATCCCAGTGTTCCCGCAGTGGAGTGTAGTAGCTCACAGGCCCGCTGTGTGCATCCACAGTAGCAGACAACCAAGGAGACTGTCTCTGGCAAGTAGATTTCTGCAAGTGTGCACACCTGTGCACATGCATCACACACACACACACACCAAATAGAAAAAGGAGGAACAATACAGTCTCCATTCCATCTTCTTTGACAACTAAAGTGGGGACCAGGGTACTGGAGAGATAGCTCAGTACTTAAGAGGAATCTAGGTTTGGTTTCCAGCACCCACATGGTGGCTCACAACTATCCATAACTCCAGTATCAGGGAATCAGACTAGATCTTGTCTTCTAACCTCTGAAGGCACCAGGCACACCATGGGTACACATACATACATGCAGGTAAAGCACTCACACACTTCAATAAATCTGAAAAGAAAGAACATCTTGCCCAGGATGTCACTTGAAAACATTTGAAGATTATTCAGTCCCCAGCTACAGAACAAAATGACCTGGGAGCTGGAGAGACGGCCCAGTGGTTTAAGGGAACTAGCTATAAAAGATCAAGAAAACTACCCTGACTCCTCAAGAACTAAATTGAGGTGGGGGTTTTTCTCTGTACTGTGAGCTAGCCTCAAGTGTTCAATCTTCCTGCCTCAGCCTCCCAAGTATGGGACCACATGTATGTGCCACCACACCTGGCTTGCCTTCTGATGTGAGGAAAATTATCTTATTAACACTTCACTTGCTACAGAGTATTTTACATACATTGTCATCATTAGTAGTAGTAGTAGTAGTAGTAGTAGTAGTAGTAGTAGTAGTAGTAGTAGTAGTA